TTGTTTTTTTATTTGTAAGATTGAAATCCATTGCTCAAAAACGGGCAAATCTTTAATTGTTAAACGCAATGAATTTTTGTCAATTTTTCATGGCTTTCGCTGTAAAATCTTTTATGTTTTTTCTTTTTTTTTTTCTTTTTCCAGGTCTATTTATTCTGTTACAATGGGTTTCGGGTTACACTCAATGTAAAATAATTTCTTACGTCTTATGGATTACTTGATTCAAATGTAGTGAAACCAGTTGGAGGATCTTGTACACACGGTGCTACATGCATGAAAGGTAAGAGCATTTGGTTTCATCATCTTGAAGTAGTTTTTAACTAAATCTTCAGCCTTTTTCCAAAACTAATTTGTTTGCTTAAAAAAAACTTTTTTTCTTCTGGAAAACGACTTTCATTTCGTATTGAGGAAATTGTTTAATACAATCGCTGTTTTCTTGGATATTTTGAACCCTTACACCAATTGTTCTCATTCCTTTTTACCAAAGCCCCATTTTCACCATATGTCATTCCATTCCCTTTCCAAGATGGTCCGGTTCAAAAGGTGAATTCCAAATAATACGCATGTATTATTGAAAATCTTCATTATTTTCCATATTTGTACATATATATTTACATGAATCATTTTTATAGAGTAATTTTACAAATTTAATAGCAACAAAAAATGCAGACGGATTTTTAAACTTAAATACATGTATAGTAGTTTGTTTTTCATTCATAACGAGTTAAATAAACTGATGAAAAATTCAGGGTATTTAAATCGATTTTATTCTGATGAAAACTACAGTCAAAGATTTTTCCTTCCCACTTAGCGAGTGTTTTACAATTATATTCCCAGTTATTATAGGTATTATAAAATTCAAATTTACCCCGTTCTCTGCTATCTAAAATTACCCCGTTCTCTGCTATCTAAAATTACCCCGTTCTCTGCTATCTAAAATTTACCTCGTTCTCTGCTATTTAAAATTTACCTCGTTCTCTGCTATTTAAAATTTACCTCGTTCTCTGCTATTCACATATTTTGAACATTTGCATAATGCTCTCTATATTTTTGTTAATGATGCCATTAAAGTTTGCAAAACAAGATTCTTCTTTACTAAACGTGTTCTTCATTTTACTAAATTATTAACAATGGCGCTAATAGGCGCTCTAAGTACAATTTTTTTCCATATGGCTAATTTGTGTCTCTATGATTTCTTTTTCTTTATTACCGGAATCAACAGCTCTACAATGTTAAGATAATAATATTAAAGATAACCTACTGCGGGAAAAACATCGTCAGTTATGTATCGAAAGATACATGATCGCCTAAGCGTGTATCACGTATGGCACATAACTGACTGATTATTAAACATATTCTCATTACTAGAGAAAAAAAATCCTTGAGATTGACGCACATATGCATCTTGTGCCATGTTGCATAAGTATATCATGCCAGTGTAAAATATATTGTTAAAAATAATAAAATGCTTTGTATATTAATATTAACCGATTAATGTCCACCATATAATCAGGTATTATACTTTCTACCTGTAACCCCCCCCCACCGCTTGCTTCCAAGAGAATGCTCTCCCGATTGCTACAATCTTATCGGTTAACTCTAGACTTAGACAGCTTATCTTCATATTCATTTATCGCTATAACCTGTGACTCTTACTCCGTAACACTCTACCTCGAGTGGTTCTTAGGCCTTGTACAGGATGAATATTATTATAAAATAAAAACATTAATACTCACAATAGTATAGTGGCTGTTAAAGGATTAATCGTTTTCACGTAGGCAGAATTTATTACATAAGCTATAGCCACCCGTTGAATTAAACAAAAATAGAATGTTTTAGCAAAAATGCATACATTTTTTAATCGGTATCGCTTCCAAGCAAGGTAGTAAAGCCACTAAGACACAAGGGGTTACTGGGTGTGGAAGGATTAGGAACAGAAAATTAAATGAGCGAAAAGATAAAAAAAAGAGTAATCAGCAGGACAGTAGATAGCGATTGACATTGCATTTAAATTTTTGAAGATTAAAGTTAATTGGAAAGCATAGAGCTCGAAGGGAGTTCTACAAGCGAGAAGTGCGAGAAAAGAAACTGTTAGCATAGAACTTACGGCTACATCTATTGATGAGATCTCGATGCCAGTTTAGTACTGCGTTTATATTCAAAAAGTCTAGGTACCATAGTGAAGAAGTCATCCGAACAATTACCATGAAAGTATTTATAGAATGCACAGAGGCAACTCTACGGCAGTGGGAAAGCGACTGAAGCTGAGATGCCATATCAGGACCAATAATATTGCTGATTCTTCTTTGGATCTTATCAAAGAGCTCAAGGTAAATAGCAGGGGCACCGGACCACATGTGGCAGCAATATTGTAGGCACGGATGAATAGTAGACTTATAGATATGTAAGATAGATTCTTGGGAGAAAAATTTTCTCGCCGAATACAGTGAACCGACTTTCTTGGCAAACTGACTTAGCAATAGATTCAATTTACTCAAAAATTATCAGCTCGAGCAAGAAGTTCTCGACTAAAATCTATTTGATCTTTTTGGTCATATTTTTGAGACGTGGGTTGGATCGGGGACTTTTCAACACCTCCTCGTACGAAGAGAGTCTCAAACGATACTTAGCAGATAGATCATTACAACTGTTGTGAGTTCGTGTCTCAATGGATGCTCCTCTCTTCTGACCTTGTGTCATGCTAAGCTCAGCAAATATCGCTGTGTGGTAATAATTAAGAATTTGATCCTCACTTGGGGGCCCGACATTTGTGGTTTTAGCTCTAATAGTAGATAGGTTTGCCTATCATCCAGTTTACACACCTCCCCGATTTTTTGAACAGGAGTAAAAGTTTATCCCTTATTTTCTGTTGAGTATTTTTTTGTTTGTTTGTTTTTTGTTTTGTTTTTTTTGTTGTTGTTTTTTGTTTTGTTTTTTTGTTGTTGTTTTTTGTTTGTTTTTACGGTCCTTCTAAAGTCGTTTCATTCTTTTTCAGTCTCAGCCATTATTGTCTAGCTTGGGGTGAACTGATTTTTAAAACAATAAAATAAAAATACCAAACTAAGTTTAGTAACAAAGAGGGCTGGGCTATGTCAGAGCGTTTTGACCAGGATACACCACTGCTGCTACCGTTGCAGTCTGTCGTGCACAGATGCCACTAACAGGTTCCTGGAATCGCGATCATAAAATTTAGTAAATATAGGCGCCCAATTACCATGGAGGCGAAATTGAAAGGTAATTTTTATAACTACTGTTCACCCAAGAGCCACTTTAGGTAGATGGTTACTGAATGAGATTATTGTTAGAACTTAAAGAAAGGAGGAGGTGCATATTTTGAGGATATGTAGGATAGATAACGGCAAAGGATAGATAAAGGTTCAACCTAGACTTGAAGAGTTTAAGATTGTAGAGGCCAGAGAAGTATCCCTTAGAAAGTCTGTTCCACAATATAAAATTCTAGGCAAGAAACTGCCTAAGTGGAATGTCCTCCTTATCTTACGAGAAGAATGAGGAATGCCGTGTACGTAGCATGGTGGGAATATAGCTGTGAAATTCTAGAACTAATGAACGTTGCTCATTGGATAAAGACGTTGGTTAGATCTAGTGACAGGACCTAAAGAGTGTGGGTTCAATATCCGGTTAAGGCAGTGGAGAACTTTCAGAGGGAAATTAACAGGAGATAACTGATAACTGACATCCATTAAACATGGCACGTTGAACTAGAACAGTCTACCCCAGTAAGCGAAATAAAGGGTTCAGTTCGAAATTCCAACCACCTGAAGAAGGCCGGAGCGTACAACGGCCGAAACGTTGTAATAAATGTGGCGACAAAGATGAGGACAATAGTCCGAATAATGTAAATAATGTATATAAATGTACCTGTTTAATGGGACGATTACCGATTTTTAAGCGAGTTGATGGTTTTAAGTGGAGGAAAGTCACTAGCATTTGTGTGCTTGGCATACGTCCGCTAAATATGAAAAAAAAATAGGCTTTAATGTGTTGAGACTTTCGGATATTTGTTGTTGGAACGAATAAGTTACACTGACATAACATAATTAACAAATTTATTTACTAGCAGACATTATTTACGTTTTGAAATTTGAAACAGTCCGATAAAGGGGAATATAGTGTTAAATTTCTTTTCATAATCTTTTTTTGTGTGTAAAGAAGAAAAATATTTTTATATGGAATTCACTTGTACGAGTAAAGTCCCTGAAATCGGATATTTTCAAATTGGGCCGTGATTTGAAGTTGATTTGAAAGTAATAAAGAGTAGTGTACAAATGAAAGTTGAATTGAAAAAAGTTCTTTCTTCATGTTATCAGCTATCAAGACAATGTTGGTTAGTATTAGGTTTCTCTTTGTCATTGGTGGTAACAGAGAATAAAACTGACTTCTTATTTTCTGGGCCACTCTTTGTGTTCGTGTGACGTTAAGTGTCATTTTTAAAAAAATCGGCCTCCATAAGAGTCGATTAGATAAATGTGTTTCTTAAATTTCTTTTACAAGCTTTTCAACGTCTGAAAGACAAATTTATTTTAATAATAACAATAAAAAAGGATATGCTAAAATAATGAGATAAAAAAAATAACAAATAAGAAAATTTTTTAAAAAGAGGGTTAACAAAAACATTTACATTACCGTAAAATGGTAATATCGAAATTAAAAATAATTACCAACAAAAACAGCTCAGCCGATTTATTGTTCCACTTTCATCAGAGCTTGAGACGAGAAATGTGCGCAAATGAATACATAACAATTAAAGTCTACATTTAAGCCTAACAATCCCTCTTTTTGCTTACAGAGGGATGACTGGCAGTACTTAGTATAAATGAATTTTGACACCTTCAAATGAAAATCTGAGTGAGCCTTTTTCAGTACTGAGACTATATCATAGTTATAGAAACGAACACACCGATGGTTGTTTAGTAAATGTTCAGCTGATGCACTAGTTATCTTAACGCACCTGTGTTTTTATTTATTTTTTTTATTTAATGCTTGCGGTCATATCACGTTCGAACACCAGTTCTCATATGATCACCGAAGTTAAGTAACGTTGAGCTTGGTCGATACCTAGATGGGTGACCAGTTTGGAACACCAGGTGCTGTAAGCATAGATGTGTGGATAGTATAATGGATAACAGCTTGGGGTGAGAAATGGGAGAGCCGAGTTCGAATTCCAGTCGGGTTCGTCATATTGACTTATGTACAAATACTTTTTTAATCCACTTCTCCTCCTCCCAGGTATGAATTAAATAGTAGGACTTTTACCAGAAAATCTATTATTATCTCCCCCAAATTCTTGAAATTCAAAAATCTTTCGGCTTTAAATAATCTTAAAAAGATAAACCGTAAAAAAAATCGATCTTCTTTTTTTAATATTGAGACGATTTTGAATATCGTATGTCGAGCTGGACATGATTTTTATAAAGGAACTTTTTCGTTTTTTGGGTTTTTCTTTTTCTTTAATCAATTGACTCCTAGCAAGGCGATAACGTCACTATGACGCAAGGAACAACTGGAAGTGAGAGAGAAGGAAACCCAATCCTAAACAGGAAGAAAGGAATAAACCTCTCCCCTCCCACTGTTCAAAAGACTGGGGAAGCGTGTGAACCGGATGAATAGGCAAACCTATCTACTCCTATTAACTTAGTTGGGTTTTGAATTACCAGGGTTTTACAAGCTGTTCGAGTGAAAAGTTAGGATGTCTTTTCTTAATGAACTCTGACACCTGACCAACAAGCTAAGATCGTGGTGATTTCGATTATCACTGAATAAACTCAATCTTGCAACTTTGTATCAGACTGAACTGTAGTAGGTCAAAGTGCCGAACGGGAAAAAGAGTCAAACTGACTAAATGACTAATGAATATAATGTCAAAAGACACAGTTTCAAAAAGACTAAATGTTGAACAAAGTAAAAGCGAACATATCGTCATGATTTTAAAAAAAGCTCTAGTCAAATAATCAAATAAGCTATTCTAAACTTTTTACTCCTTACCTTTGGCATCATTTAATAAATAATAGCCTTTAAAATTATTAAGCCTCCATCATCATCTGTTAGCGGTTCGATCTGTGAAGTGTCCTTTATTACGCTCTAATTTTACCAAATTGAACCGAGTCTTCTTTTTATATATATATATATATATATATATATATATATATATATATATATATGCACGGTACTTATTGGAAAGCACTCAATATCTGTGACAGAGCTAACATATTTAGAATATTATAATTATATTAAATTATATTTACAAACTCACATCAATCCAACTAAATATATTAGCTCTATCACTGATAAACTCACATCAATCCAACTAATATATATATATATATTAGGGACTATAAATAGGCGCCTACATCACAATTCATTTTTACTTAATTTAATTATTCCTTCAAGTTTTCAATGTCATAATTCAGATTTATATTTTGTCATACCCTTCGTAATGGAAATTAAGTATTTATACTCTGAAGAAACTTCGTCTAAGTCAATATACAGGGGATATTCCAGTTGATACTAATTCGATATTTAGTCCATTCGTCTTTCGACACTCTTTCTGCGTACGGAATGAACTTAGGAAATGCATCTATAGTAACTAATATTAGCGAACTAAGCAAATGTTGGTGGCACTGGAGTCAGGTTGCTTGTCTTATAAGCTTTTGCTTCTGACTTTATTCCTTAAATGTAGCCCGATACCAGAGTTTCGCAAATCCATTAAATAGCCAAATATCTGCTAAGGTTGTGGTAATTTACAGAATTAAATCATGCAAGTCATATGATAAAATTACCGTATTTTGTGGCATTACAGTAACTGAATAACTACAAGTATTAGTCAACGGTTATGGATTTTATGCCAGAAGGGATTGAGAAAAAATTTGCTCGTTTTATATCGCTTTGCCATTGCTGAAATGTATCAGTGATTCCTTTCACGTAGAAAAAGTTACGTGCATTTTATCCTGTTATGGGCATTGTGCTGTGCGAGAAATGAACATTTCATATTTGCTTGCATATTCATATCCCCGCGTGGTCACCAGGTAGTAGGTGAACTATGGAAGACATATTTATTCTCCAATTTTACATTTCCCCCATTATGAGCATTATTATATCTATGATATAATAACAACGTATTTGACGGAACGGAATAACGGAAAGAAAAAGAAATGAACATGCTTTGTTCTCAGAGAGAGTTTTATGATGCTAAGTCGTACACAAAATTATATATACGTATTTATCCATGTCCCATACAGAAACACTATATTACATAAATCACAGCTAGCAATGTGTAAAACAGAGAGCCTTACATGTAATATTTTCCGAATTGAAAACTGGAGTTACAGTGGTTTATCTACGAACCTTATGAAGTCAGGTGATTTTTTTTTTCCTGTAAGACCTACTGCTGTGGGCGAGGGACGTCCTGCTTTACATCGCAACTACTGATGTCACTCACCAGCCGTCACGTAATTCTCGTGAATTTATCTCAACGAGAGAGAGATAATCGCCTGTTGTATGTCTACAACGGTATCTGGATAAACGCTAACTTACTAGATATCTTCGCAAAAGAGCATGGTGTTCGAGTAAGCCATTAAAAAAGAAAATTGGAAATTGATATTCTCAGAAGGAATTTAAGAAAATCCTATCATAGTGACATAATAGGTCAATGGACTGTCAGTACGAATGCACAAGCGTACGGATTGTCTGACAAACTTACATGCTAAGCAGCTACCGTGCCCTATGTAACCTGAACGATGTGACTTCTGCTTCGTTCAATCGAAGAATATATGTCCAGAACTTACCTCTTTATACTTGATTAGCCTATGTGATAAGATCACCTCTCGGTTTATATTTAAATTAGCATATATGGTAGTACGTAAATTTACGAATTTAACCGGAAATTTACGATCACATAAATTTACACTCGGGCAAATTCTGGCCTTCTATAAGTGTCTACGTAAATATTAGCCTACCAGATACATGATTTTTTAATATAAGACTCGGTTGGGTAAAAACGTTTGGGTCTTACATGCCGTCAAATGTTATAATTTTACTACTTTTATATTTTAAAGCAAGACGATGACATTTTAGATGATCATGTACAGCTACTTATTTGCTATTATTAACCGAACTCAGTCAAGGCTGGCAGGGAGTATAAAATCTTCCTACTCCTTTTTCTGTTGGTCGAGTAGTTACAAATAGTGATTTTTCCCGAGTGTCCACTATCTTTCTTTGTTCATCAATCATCGTTTCATGACAGTAAGCAAATACTTTCTCCGCATATCTGGTAATGAGACAGAGCGCAGTGATATGGTGTTATATCTTTCACAAAAGCACTCGTGATAAAAGGACAGCAACATTAGCCAGAATTCGACCTCTGCTTGTTGAATTCATTTTCCGTGGTAATAACCGTTAGGTCGACTTGCGTCTCATTTAAGTTAAGACTGCAATCAATTTTTCGGAAAAAAGCGTGCATAGATAACTTAGTTTTACACTAGCAGCTCTTAATTTGACTATACGTCTAACTTGATTAAAACGTTGGTTAGACTCGACTTGCTTTCCTGGCAGTAATGGATTCAATATTTGGGGCAGATAGATTGGAAAAGTCCTATACTCTTAATCAGCGAATGAAATGAGAAAGCGAAAGCAAAAAGTAAATAGTTTAGAGAACGAACTAATACGAGATAGTCCACTTTCTATGCTTAGGGAATGAGTAAAGGGTTTGAGAAAATTACCATGAAGAAGTCCAATGTACAACGGTTGAAGCGATGTGAATATAACAACCAAGATGAGCAGGTTGAACTGAAAGTGCGTATCCTGCCGCGTATATATTGGCTTAGATTATTTTATTATTATTTAATTTATATATCCTTTAAAAAACAGAGTTTCTAAAGATTCGTTCTAGATATTTCTTGCTGGACAATATTCCACCGTCGGATAGAGTGACTGAAATTCACAGCGATCAAATCCAGAGAACAAACAAAATAATACGACCCGAGGAATTAGTATTTTTAAAGCGTCCAGTTCAAACGTTAAACATAATTTGACTATGTTCATCACTTTGATGTATGACTTCCTCATAGTTTTAAAAAATACGGATCTGTGTTTAACTTATTAAACGTGTTTATATTTATAACGTATACCTGACATGATACGCAAATTTATAACGGTTACCTCACATGGAACGATAAAGATCTTGTGTGGTGTGGGTGTAAACGAAATGAAACCTCATTTTCGTATTGAGCTAGTCTTAATTTTAATCCAACCATATATACATACACTGTGTATATGGTTGGGAAGAGAGCTTTCTCTTTTGAGGCCCTTCTGGAAAATTCTTCGATTTCATCAAACAAGTGCTATTCCCAAATCGACAACATATTTCTTGGGTGAACAGGCAAAATTTTGCTCTGGTTCAATGTATTCACCAAATATTGCATTATTTTTAATAAAATTTCTTTTGCTTTTTTATAAAATTTGCTAAACGAAAAACTTTAATTACTTGGATTGTAAAAAGCACGTGAAAAAGTTCTTTATCGGGAAAGATGAAAAGCAAGATGGAATTATAAAATGCTTGGAAATGATAAATAATTTAATACAATAGTAAATAATCGATAAAGTTAATGTCAAAAATAAAATTCACTCTAACCTTTAATAACTAAATCTTGTAAATTTTCTTAAGTTATTATATATTGAGTGTAGCTAGGGTCACCTATCGTCCGGTCCACACTTCTCCCAGTTTCTGAACAGGATTAGAGGTTTATCCTTTGTTTCCTGTTTAGGATTGCGTTTTCGACTTCAGCTCTAGACTCCTAACGCTTTTTCTTTCCTACGCAAATATAACTCTACATAATAACCCTCTACCTTCAGTGGCTCTTGGGCTTTGTAAGGTGGCGAACATTAGTTATGAGAGATATATAGAAATAATTCATTTAAATAAGTTTTGCTAAATTCAACTGACAATGTCTACCTATTTAATTATTTACTGTAAAATTACGGACAAGAAAAGTTCTATACTCTTAATCAGTGAATAAAACGAGAAAGCGACGCAAAAAGTAAATAGTTTAGAGAACGAACTAATAAGAGATAGTCCACTTTCCATGCTTATGGGATGAGTA